AGTAAAAGAAAAAATGATACGATACAAAAAGGTGAGGTGACGGTGTAAGGAGGTCACACCGTCACAGGTCCTTAACAAAGAATGGTAGATCATTAATATAAATGAGAAATAAGTACGGTCCAAGTATTGCGCCCTGCGGAACACCCATTTTTACCGGAGAACCCAAAGAAGTCACTCCATTTATATCTACTTTCTGTATTCTACCGTTGAGATATGACGAGATAAGTTCCAACGCCTTGCCATTTACTCCGTAATATTCTAGCTTCCTAACAAGGGTAATATGATCCACGCAATCAAATGATTTTGAGAGGTCACAGAAAATCGCAATAGCGTTCTGGGACCTTTCCCAAGCATCAAATATATGTTTTAGTAGCGCTACCCCTACATCGCTAGTCGATCTACCACTAGTAGAACCACATTGTTCACTATCTACCGAAATAAAACAGTAATTGATTCAACATAACCTTTTCGAATTACTGAAGCACCATTTAGTTGATTTGTTTATTGTTACTAGAAATTAGAGTAGTATTAATAAATTGCAGGTTGTCAATGTAAAACAAATTAGTTAATATACAAAAATATAGCTATTTGGTACTCATCTCGATATCTGGTGTACTAACACACTAAGTTAACTATGCTCTTGAGTTATTGGTCATGGTAATGTAGGTATGGTTTATTTATTGTGACTGCGGTGGTGCGCACATGTCACGACTGTGGCCCTGCAACTGCGCTTCTAAATATTCTATGAAAATTAGTAGTGGCGCTGCTAAAAACATTTCTTTTAATCCTTGCGCCCGCGTGACCAATTGCGTAACTTTTTTGGTGCGACTAATTAAGGGTTAAAAACGGCCTTGGCCATTTTACCATCGGTAAAAGAAGGATGGCGACATCCCGTGTATTTTGTGACCCAGTGTTTTTGACGACGTGCATTAAGGAGACCTATCAATACTTGTGATTCATTATCAAAGCATGAAAAAAGCGAATTGAGTACAGCCTGTAGAAGCTGGGGTTATAAATTTGATATAGGTTATGTTTGTGACATTGTCCTGTATATCGTTTCGGATGTTTATTCCTAGTAGGAGAAAACAACAAGTTTTCAGTTTGTTTCCAAAAAGAATAAAGAACTTCCCGAATATTGCCAAATTTGCCAAACTCTGCCATTTTTAATAATGAAAATTAATAAAAATTAAATCTGCCCAATAACTGATTACTCCATTACGTATTTTATAGCTTTAATGTTTTATGTGTGCACTATAAAATAACCAATACTTCTGAAGTAAACATTCAATTATGATTAAAATGAACCGTACGTACAAGAACGTTATCTAATCTATGGTCGAACTGAATAATTTGCGTTGTGTTCTTGCATCTATTCTAAAATACATGTATTACAATTTTTTTATTTAGGAAATGGTCCAATGTTGACTGTCAACCGTGACCATGGGACCTGGAAAGGGCCCGAAACATCGGTTTGTTTGAAAAAACAAATATACGTGATTTAAATGTGGAAAAATAGTTTCATTTCCTATGGGTAACAATCGCGAAAACCTTCGAATATTTTTATTCCCGACTTCTAAAAATATACAAATATATATCGATAATTAGGCATAAACTAAAACGCAAAATTATACTAGCGAAGTCCATGAACAGCTCTTCGTTGTTATTAGGGCAGCTTTCGCCATCCTTTTTTTATACCAGCCTAGAGGATGACGAATTTTGTTGGGTATAGAACAGACAAATAAAATATCCATAAATAACAAGCAAAATTTTACTTTATTCTTTACATTGTTTCGTGGATAAGATGTTTATTTATATACTTAATGGATAAACATTCTGTTAAGTATATCGTGTAGTGCAAAACATATTTACATGGCTTAATATCTAACAAAATCGATATTTTTAAAGTAAAAAGGAAATAGCAGGTGACGGTGATGTTGTAGTCAAGATGGGAAAGTCGAAGTTTTGTGAAATGACTTTTTAAGAAGAGCTTTTCATTGCACGAGTAAAGCTCAGCACACGTTACCTGTTCTGTGTCTGAAACTACGTATGTTTTCTCATCAATGTATTTGTTTAATTTGATGTTCATAATATTTTAAAGTTTGTTAAATATCAAATGAATATATTTATTAGTAATTAAAATGAAATTGTGCACGAACAAAACTGTTTTCAATCTGAATGGTGTCTGTCATCTTAACATGACTTTTCAATATAAGTCTACAGTAAAAGTGCACTTATACTGTACGTGAACTATAAACCTATCAGATTCAGATTCATTTATTTCTCAAATGTAACATTACAGTGTAAATTGCACTACATGTCAAAGTATAAGAAATTGTATTGAGATCGTCGGACAAAAATTATAAGAAAATACACAATAATTAGAATATCGATGGTCCTACTACCAACACACGATTTTGACAATATTAATGGCGTTTATTATAGATCATTATTACTTAGCAAAAAAAAAGTACAGAATAGAACATATCAGTTAGTAAAAAGAAAAAAAAACATAATTTAAAAAATACAGTAAGTATAAATATTTGAGCCACAATAACAATCACAGCGTTTTTAAATATATTTAACATAGAGACTACGTTTTATGACATACAACGTCACTAACATTAGCATTAGGTGAATATTGCTTATAGTATTGCGTGTGCTCTCATGATGTTTCTAATTAATATTTTAACAAACTATGTAAACCAAATATGTAGTAAAAAGGATCGTTTAGATCCTACAGTAAAAAAAACAATAATGCGAATTCTATCATAAGAACAATATTCATAGTCATATAGAATAAATACGTTAAAGTAGTCTAAAAGTAAATGAATAGAGATCGTGTGATTTTTTCTAACTTCTCGTGTAACAAATAATACAAGTTTTTAAGTGGACGTGTAATAATTTTTACACGCGTTTGAAGTCAAGTAATAATAGGATTTTACACAAGAAATTAGAAAATAATCCTCGTGGTATAGTAAACGTAAAGAAAAACTCTCTACAGAGGCGTTCACACAGATCGAGCAGGAAAAGATTTAAGCGACGATTAAGAGATAAGTTTAGAAAATCAGTCTCAATGAACAGGCCATCAATTTTCAATAATTTTATTAAGTTATATACTATGTTATATATTAACATGCGTTTAAAGCAATGAATATGAAATGAAGTTACTTTTTATGTATTAAGCGAGCGTAGAAAATTAAAAGGAAGTTGGAACGTTTTAATGGTTTCAATGACACAAAATTGATTGACTGTTATTTCTATCTTCTCAATACTTTTTGAGTTTTGATTTGAGTAACAGAGATGAACACAAGTTGGCGTCTCGTTGCCTACGAGATATTTAAACTTTCTCATACATTCAAATATATTTAAAAGAGTGCCATAAAACCACGAAAAAGTTATATAAGTAAGATTTTATAAATAAAACATGCGATCCAGACCATTGCCAGTCATTTCTATTAGTACATTTCGCATATAAAAAGTATCACGAAAATTATCTACGATAGTACGTAATGAAGCCTATAAAGTCCATTTGCAACTAGATGACATGAATTATTGAAATCATGGTAAATATGTCGCAACAAAGTAATAGATACCAAAGTTATATAAGGACAAATAATGGACTTATTGCAGCAACTTCATAAGTTTTTTCGGTAGAATAAATCTTATCAAGCAGATATTCGAATGCCTGGTAAGCCATGTTGCAAATGGACTGAGTAATATATAATTGTATACTTATTTATAAACACGAGTAACGTCGAAACACCGAAACTAAACACAGATCTACGATTGGTTCTTGCACACAGATTTAACGTCAGTCTTTGGACAGTCGAATCACATAAAGTTATTGCTGGAGCGATGATTAACTAGCTAGATCACACTATTCAGGACGAAGATTAGTTACTAAGGTCTTTTCCAAACAGGGTGGTGTGCCGTGGACTTCATGATTTTATATTTTTTTTATATATAAAAGCAAAGTCTTGGTTAGACGATATGGTGTTGTGTTTTATTACTTTTCTCAAAGAAGATTGTTTGTGAGCTGCGATTTTTAGATCAGGCCAGTAAGAAGAGAATAAAACACATTCAGATAGCTTTTAGCTGTTCATACAAATATAGGAGGCAGTCGTACCACCATGTTAAGAAAAAGTATAAAGTTCTATACAATAAATGAACCTACGAACAACTAATATTTCTATATAGGTAGAATAACAGAAAGGCGAAGATGAAATGAATATTGACAGGGCCTATGTAATCATTGGATCTAATACATACAATACAATAACAAATAACACACTAACTGCATTGGACAATAAGGAGTAACAAAATTAATAATAGTAAGTGCGTCAGAGCAGTCCAGTAGTGCGATAAGTATTGCACGAATACTTAAATCCTGCATGCACCTACTTACAATTAATTTGATTACATCTAAAGTAGCTAACAACGGAAAATGAAAAGTTTTCTAACTATTTAAGGATTAAATAGGTTCTAGATTATTATGTTCACCTAAACAATTGCAGCATCTATGCTATTGGTGCCTCAATCAATAATATCAGTATCGTTAATAAAGGAATTACTAGTAGACATATATACCTTAGTAATAATGGGTGCAATAATCGATACATATCATTGTATATAGTAATTGTGCATTGGTATACAGATTTTTTTGGGCCTTTAATTTTGTTTTTGACTTACAACCTAGGATTTATTTGCTAATTTTCACGAAAAGAAAAATTTTCTCTCGAATTTTTATTTACATATTTATAATATACAAAACAGCAAAAGTGCACAAAAAACGATTTCACAAAATATGCATTTGAGCGATAGGTATGTTTAATTATATTTACATAAAAGCAATGTATACCTACAATAGTCAGAAGTGTATAAGAAACTATGATTTAGCAAGATGACGAAAAGAAATATAAAAAATCCCCTAAGTATACATTAATTCTAAAAAAATTAGACAACGTCTTTCTCAACTTTTGATCTAGTTTTCTAATTATCTATCATCATTAAATAACTACATATCACTCTATATAATAGGTTATTGCTATACAGAATCTATATACAACACGAAGCATTCAGAAGGTACGGTATAGTTTGCGACATCAAAAGTGAACTGAAAATAACAAAAAGTGTTTCATCTACACATTTACAACGACGACTAATTTTTCTACTTTTTCGTGTTCCTTACAATAATATATCACATTGGGTTAGAATCTTGTATACTTGCCCATTTGACAACTGTCAAAATGAGGACATTTTCCAGCATACCCAGATTTCAAGTTTTACTGTAACATTCTCTATAATTAATATTTGAACAAGATTAACAATCGAAATGTATTGAAATAATTTTTGTTGTTTTATTAGTTATTTTTATGAACAAATTACAATATCTACTTTAACAATTTACACTCCTTTCTTTAGACCTCCTAATATTAATAAATCCTTTGAGAAAAAAAAAGGAAAGAACAAAGATTTGCTCAAGTGTCTCAGTGTATTATGAATATGATACATATACTTATTTTTGTTGTCTGACATTTGGTTGTAAAGCTATAGACAAATGTATTTACTCAGTGTTGGAGTTTTATCTAAATGCAAAGCCGAAAAGGTGGCTTGGAAGTGGTTGTAGGAGGAGATCGGACGACCGAACACTGTCAGTATTACCATAAGAAAGACTTTTAGCAATACGACTATTACAACACGACATCCGTCTCCACTTAGACGAATCATACGGAAATGTACTCAGGGTTTGACGTCTCATCTAGATGGAAAGCCGAAAATGTGGCTTGGGAGTGTTTGTAGGAGATCCGTTATACAGCCAGTTATTATTTTAGAAACACTTTTAACACTGCGACTATTAGGTTCTAGTGGAGACGAATAAACTATACCTAAATGTATTTGATGTTGGACGTTCATCTAGATGGAAAGCCGAAAACGTGATTGGAAGTAGTTATACAGGAGGAGACCGGACGTCCGAGCACCTTTACTATTTCAGAGCGACCTTTTGTTCAATGGGACTATTACAGTCTTATATAGGAGTACCAGGTGAACCTAGTCAGAATTATCATGGGCTGCATTCAAAGTCTTCATGTCATCGGCTACCAAAGATCGGTCGTACCGCCTTTGCCGTGTGATTTTAGGCCTTACTGCGCCTAGCAGAGGCGCTGATATCGCATGGCCGGACGCTTGCAAGTCTTTCCTGGTCTGTAGTAAGGGTGACGTCACGCTGGATGACTCGTCTCCCTCGTCGTCAGACAGGGCAGGATAGCTTTCCCGCATTTTGAGACTGCGTTCTAGGCGACGGAGAAATCTGAATGGAAAAGTGCGTAAGTTAAACAAAATTAAGTTTCAAATCTTTATTTCAAAGGTTAACAAATTACATGTGAAAAAGTCAAATTTATAACATAAAGAACAGCACTAGGCTACGTCTATAGGTACTAAAACACAAAAAATGGGATTTAAGATTATGTAGGATTTGTCAACGATGTTCATTGTTAATTGTTAAAAAAATGTAGAATGGAATAGAAAACATTTATTGCTACGCCACAACATAAAATATAACCAAAGGAAACAAATAAAAAAAAAAGAGTAAAAAGCTACGAAACATACATTTAAAGTTACAAATAATCAACACCATTTAAAATACTATCGTGTGACGTATACAAAAGGATCCACCCAGCTAATGCCACAGTCGAGATTACGTAGACTATCAAGATTGGTTTTCAGTGGACCCTAAAATCGAGTTAAGTACCGGACGTGTGTGTTGCAATACAAACTAAAATAGACTAGATGTTTTCCATGCTCATGAAATGTTTGTTCAAAAAACTGAAATGTTTGTTTATCATATAAAGACCGTGCGACTTCCTCCCTGCAAAGTATGAAAATCCGTCAATGTCCGCTACTCTTAACTTTTAAATTTATTAACAAATGTACTATGTAAACAGGCAAAGAAAAACTCATATAGCCAACTGCCCTGTGTTCGTAATTGCGAGAATTAAAAGTGCCTACCTGTACAGCTTACTTCGAAAAAAAGAAAAAATAAATAATCTAAAGTACTTTGGTATCATTTCCCGCTTTTTCGTCATTTTTGTAGCAAGAGAGGAGGAGCGATAACGAAAATACAGTAGTGGATTGTATTTTGCCTAATTTAAACAAGAGACAATATTAGCCAAATGTCAAAATAACATTACTTTTATTAACTAATATTAATAACCATTGACTTACAAATATTTGGACAACGGGTCTAATACAAAAACCACGTAAAAATGTCCCAAGTCAACCTATTTAAACGTAGTGACATGTAAAGGAATATGAAAAAGGTAAAACGTTGAATTTAAATTGTAATGTCATCGCAGTACTGTCTAATGTTGCTTGCTTCGCTGTCAGTCGAACAAACGAACACTAAAGCGTGAATGACGCTCTGTATACGATTTTAACGCCCTATAAGTTCGGACACTTTTTAGCGCGGACCCGACGTCCATATAATTGTAAGTCAATGACTAATACATAAATTCTGTACTACATCGTCCTCGCTTTAGTATTTTATTATTTCCTCATATTGTTTGAGAAAACCACCATTAATGCCTCGGCGGGAACGGGGATTGCTTGACTCGTAAGTAATACAAGACCTCGTTGGCGCTTGGCCTTATAGCTCATACTCGTCCAGCAATCCTTAACCTCTGCAATAATGTACTACAAATATTTAAGTAAGTACCTTATTTGATTGCTGATAGTTCGCAGCTTATTAGTCTTGGCCGGCTTCCGCGAGTCTTCCGTCAGATCCAGACTGGATGAGATCTTCGACGACGTGTCCTGCGAGCGTAATAGTCCCATTATAGTGACTTTGTATACTTAAATTCGGGACGCAAAACATTCATTCATTGTTCCATGCAACAAAATTGTTAGCTGCGTAGATCAAAGACAAGCCAGCCTCTGAAAAGTTAAGTTTAAACGTGAAAGTGAAATAAATAGTTCGGTCTCTGAACACGTGCACGCGGTCGCTGCGCGGCGGCCACGCAGTTTTCGCGCGACGTCGCGTCCATGCGATGAAATTCGTATCGAATAAACGCGTCTCAGGAACCCTCATTATCTTTATGCAACGATTGCTTATGATACTATTTTCAGTTCAGAGGCGAATATGTACCATAGACAATAAAGTTATGGTTTGGAACTAAAAAGAGCGCCTTTGTGATATGGTTTACAGACTAAAGTGGAAAAACTATATATTCAGAAAATATTAATTTTATTTCTTAGTATATTTATTTTTATTATTTTACTCCTCTTAATAGGGTTACTAAATTTAAGTACCTTGGGCATTGGGTCAGTGAGTCCTTGGAGGATAACACTGACATTGAGAGAGAGCGTAGGGCATTAGCAGTGCGGGGTAATACGAGTATGTTGGCCCGTAGGTTCGCAAGGTGTATGGACAACGTAAAGGTATCTCTTTTTAAAGCTTACTGCCAGACCTTTTATACCTGCAGCCTATGGGTCAACTACACTCAGAAAGTTATCAACTCTCTAAGAGTTATATATAACAACTAGATGCCGCGCGATGCGCCGGGCCGCTAAAGCGGCCCGCGAGGGCTTTCTTTGTATCTGGTGACAAATTGGGAGTTGAACTTCATACTTCAGTAGAGAATTCTTTTTGTTTGACTTTGAGTGGGAATCGCTGCCATTGTTTTGCGAATTTTGTTTTTTTTTTACTCCCGGTAGAAACTGCCCAAGGTGTAGAGCAACATTTGTTTGGATAGGGCTAAAACGTATATTTCGCCCGTGCAGCTGGGGTCCTACCTGATATTCGAAAAGTGCTCCACTTTTCGAAGGTTTTGGTACTTTCTGATACTCACCAAATCAACCCAACCATTATTCGCATACATTACTATACCCGCTCTTCTTCTGGGAGAAAAATGCTGGTAAAAAAACCGAAAATTCACTGGTATGGTGGCCATCTTGGAAAATGGCGGGATCCAAATTTCGCTCTCAGATACATACTATGAACCTCCATACACGATCGGTTTTCAAATTTCAGTCGAATCAAAGCACT